CACAAACTTTGTGGGAGCAGATAAAATGTTGTGTAAAATGTTTAATAACGCTAAATCTGAACTACATAATGAAATAGCCGAATTATTAACCTTAGAGTCAACAAAGTGGCATTTTATACCACCAAACGCACCTAACTTTGGAGGAATATGGGAGGCGGGTGTACGATGTGCAAAAGCTCATTTGAAACGAGTTATAGGTAACACTACCTTAACATTTGAAGAGATCTCTACTATGCTGACGCAAATCGAGGCCTGTTTAAATTCGCGACCTTTGAGTGTTCTTAGCGACAACCCAAATGACCCTCTCCCATTGACACCTGATGATGTGACTAGAGTCACATCATCAGGTGTAAGGGAGGATATTTAAAATGCCCTGTTAGTAAGCTTTGTGTGTTGGTTAAGTCATGAAGATTCAAATCACATTGTCACGGTGGGCGGCATTCTTCTTTGAGTTGTAATATAATTGTTAGGAGTATGTGGATTTTTTTTGAAGGACAAGTCATTGGTGGGCGGAATGAGTAAAAAGGTTCATGTATATAGTTGTATTCTATTGATCGACAGATGGCGCTATTTGATTTATGTACACGCTATTGAATGTATCCTGCCGTAGTGGTTAGTTATCCGCTAATGTATGTCAAATTGAGTTTTACATCGAGAATAAAAACGAGTTGTGTTAACGTGAGTGTGTATCATTTATTAACAGTGATGGTGGATTTATCCTTGATTTAGAATCAAAATTCAGATGCTTTGTCACCACTGAGGACTAAGATGGAATGAATAATTTTACGCTGTTATTCTGTGAGAGTGTGGTCTTTCTTCTTTCTTGTTCCTTTTCACCCAATCGTGTAACAACTATAATATAGCTGCACGTGGCTCTACGTCGTATAAAATATCTAATAGGAAGAATTTTGCCATAGTTGCAGGCCTGGCAAGCGGGTTGGCGGGCGCAGTTTTATATTATTACGAGTTTGTTACCAGTAAGATGCTGCTACCCATCTGCTGTTTCAGTTTCCTCCTGGCTCCTCTTGCGACAACCAAAAGTCGATATGACGTATAGGATATTCTTGCACCGCCACTACATGGTGTTTATAAAAACGCTATTACACAATTTAGGCACGGTTCAGATATTCGTTGATTTTCTATCAGCGATAGGGTTCTGAAGCGTAATTACAGGCTTAGCCGCGGCGATCCATTGCACAAGTCAAAAACTTTTATCTGATCTAATTATATCAAGGTCGAGGCTAAGTTTACAGTGTCCGACAAACAAACATAAACAAAATAATATATCCTGATGATTTCTTAAATTTACGCGAACACTACACATTGAATAAAACTACTTTAACGTATTTTATCGCGTTAACTTTAACTTGATTTTAATATCCGACGTTTCGGTAGATCGGACCAGAAGTAATAATTAAAAAGCTAAAGGTCCCTCGTGGCCACAGCCGCAGCCATAGCACCTGAGACGTCGGGTATTACAATCAAGTAAGCGATAAAATCCGTAATAGTAGCTTTATTCAAAATATATCCTCGACTCAAAAATCATTAACTTTTTTATAACGTAGTGTGACAAAAGAGCAAACAGTTCATCTGATGGTAAGTGGATGCTGTGGCCCATAGAAATACACATTTATTCTCAGTTAAGAATCAAAATGAAAATGCGTTATCACCAAGAGCACTAAAATGGAATGTCTCGATTCTAGTAAAAAGGGTCTCCGGTTGTCTACATTCTATTCTGCTATTTTACGCTGGTATTCTGTCTGATTTTACACAAATTCGGTGTAGTTAAAAGAAAACCTATGATTCGAATTTCGATTATCACCATAATATTCTAATTAATAACGCAGCTGCATACATAGAGCTTTAGTATTCAGCACAGATCTCAGCCATCTGCATTTGTCGATTTCCTAGATGTGTCAACAGGTTGTCATTCCATCCCCTTAACCACACTACAAAAGTTCACTATTTTGTTGTGGAGCTCTCGCGGGGTTGTAGTAATTGCCATGCCTGGCAGGCGAACTGGCGCACATTTGGCAGTGTGTTTGATAGCGATCTGTGTTGTCGCAGACGGCATACGGGACGGTAGCAACAAGTCCATTACCCGCTACTGGATTAATCGATTGTTTTATGGGCACACCGTACGGCAAGTAAGTTATAATAATCAGAAACACGGAGTAACTTTCAAATCGTTAGTGTTATTCTTTTTGTTCCTACTTTTAAGTTATGATTTTCAGTAAGAAAACTGAGCATTAATTTAAGACTAAGTAATTTTTGAAGTGAAAACTTCTTTAGCGGCGTTGTACACTTTTTTTGTAATGGGTAAAAAATGTTAAACTCGCGTCAGGACACGTGACCTGAACGAAAATGCGTAAGACGGACGGCGTAGGAGAGGAATTATCCCCCTCTCTTTCTACGGCGCGGCGAAAATATATGCCTGCGCCTGCTGTTTCGTTTAGACGCTTAATATAAATTGTCATGTTTGTGTACGATAACGCAATAAACCAATATTGTATTCTACCTACACATATTGTATTCTCATATTATATTCTACCTACATAAATGATAGTCCTTTTTGATGTTTCGATTTAGGCTTCGGCGTGTTTCCGCTTACAGCGCTAAAACATCATCATCATAATACATCATTACAACCCTTCACAAGTCCACTGCTGAACGTAGGCCTCCCCCAAGTAACGCCACAAAGCACGGTCCTGAGCCACCTGTATCCATCGACTTCCTGCATGCCTTACCAGGTCGTCACTCCACCTAGTGGAGGGTCACCCCACACTTCGCCTATGGGTACGAGGGTGCCACTCGAGAACCTTTTTTCTCCATTTGTTGTCCGTTCTTCGAGCTATATGGCCGGGATATGTTGTGTGCAGGTTGGGCTATGTCGGTCTTTCTGGTTATACTGCGGATATCCTCATTTCTAAGTTAATCATGCGGAGAGACCCCGAGCATAGCCCTCTCCATAGCTCGCTAAGCGACCTTGAGCTTCCTCATGCGGCCACCAGTTAAGGATCACGACTCAGTTCAGTAAGTCTTTATTGGCAACACGCACTAGTTGTACAATCTTGTTTTCAGGTTTTGAAGTATACCTGACGAGAAGATGTGTCGTAATTTCCCGAACGCTGCCCAGCCGAGTTGAATCCGTCCTTTGACCTTTCGGCCGAAGTTAGACTAACCTAGTTGTACTATTTGTCTCAGGTATTCAGTACCGGAATCCTCGGCGCCGACATATCGAGTATTGTGTAGTTTTGTAGTCAGTTCGAAGAGGAGGCCAAATTGGCCTCTAAAAAGTTTGGAGTGCTCAGGAGAGCGTGACAGTATTTAATGCCGGCACACCGCCTGCAACTTTACAAGCGCAGGTTCGGCCGTACATGGAATACTGTTCCCATCTCTGGGCCGGGGCTCCCCAGTGGCTGTTCGAATCGTCGGCGACCGAGCTCTTTCCAATCGGCTTGATTCATTCTCATGATCTCTATATATCTATCTCTTCGCAGTGCCATAATGGATATTTTTGAGTATTTTATCGCATTTACCAAGGGGAATGCTCTGAGGAATTGTTGGGACTAATTCCAGCCGCACAATTTCACCATCGCACATCTCGACAAAACTCACGATACCATCCATACCATCTGGATGTCTGGCGGTCCACCACTGTACGATTTAGAAGAAGTTTTCTTCCTCCTACAACTTCCTTGTGGAATCGACTAACACCAGAGATTTTTCCGGACTGATACAACTTTTTAAAAGGCCGGCAATGCATCTGAAATTCCCCTGGTGTTGCAGTTGTTCATGGGCGACGGTAGTCACTTACCATTGGGTGAGCCGCATGCTCGTTTGCCCCCTCTTCTATTAAAAAAATTGTTTTTAAAAATATTATTTCGAAATTCAACTGCAAAGGCATAACCATGTATTTATGTTTTTTCAACATACGACACGATGACGAGATTGAACCACGATGTAAAAAGGCAATTTACGAGTGGTAAACTGAAAAATTTTGTACATTCATCTTGAATATAAAAAAATGAGAACATCATGAATGAAGTCAAAGTCAATTAAATAGGCATCATTAAGGATAAATCAAAAACTGGTCAGATCTTGATCAAATTTATATGGGATCATAGAAAAAGCACCACTTTCAAAATCGGTCCATCTAGAAAAAAAATCTGAGGTAATACACGTAAAAAATACAGTCGAATTGAGAACATTCTACTTTTTTTGAAGTCGGTTGAAATTAATTTTAAATAAAATATATTTTAAAAGATTGTTTATTTGGTTAATTAGAGCATTTCTTTCGAAATCTACTCTCGTGTTCTATATTGATTGCAATGTTACACGTGTATAGTGTACATGACAGAATGAAAATGAAATGAAAAAAATGTACATCACAGAAAAGTAAACTACGAGTATGACAGAATGAGAAAGCAAATTCATGTTGCAGAAGTGAATGGCAGAGTCGGCAAGGGATGCCCTAGGCGAAAATTTATTAACCAAATTGATGATATATTGAAAATGGGTTAGACTAAGAGTACTTTTAACCGATAAGCATAAATGAGTAGGTATATGGATATAAAGGAAGTGGGAGAGGTGTGTCAGGATCGTGCTGGTCCGGAGTCTCTGCCTGCCCCTCTGGTTGATAGGCGTGAATGTTTATGATTTATGATTATGATCTTATTGCAAGTGTGTATGTTTGCGTGCAATCTTCTACCTTCCATGACCCCACCAACCCTCCGACCATACGGGATCGAGGTGAATCTCGGGAGCTGCAGGTGGTACTTGCGCGATCTTTCCCACGTGCACTTTCTTGACACTTCAAATTATTTCTTTTACTCCTTGTCTCATATTGCCACTCTCCCTTTCTGTGTATAACAAGCACACAACGCTTTCGGTTCCGGGCAGATCAATTGTTATGTTTCGGCTCTCTGTCGTAGTCCTCCGCACAGGCCAAAGCTCTTACCGTCAACGAGGTCCCGGAAGTACAGTATGTGCGTGTGCAGTGGGCGCGGCGCGTGGCGGCGGCGGACCTGCGCGTGGTGGTGGTGAGTGCGGAGGATGCGCGCGTGGTGCGCGCGGCGCTGTGCGCCGGGCACGGCGCCGGGCTGCTGCCGGGCGCGGGCGCGGCCTGGCTGCTGCCCGCCGCGCTGCCGCCCACCTGGCTGGCACCTGCGCCCGCCGACCGGCCCGCCTGCACGCGCGCGCAGCTGCGCCAGGTAGCGCAGGGACACCTCAGCTTCGCGCCGCACTGGCTCGCCGCCTGGCGCAATGAGACCGACCGCTCCACCGATCCGCTTCCCGCACAACAACACATAGTACGTACCGCTCCTCGAATTATTATGTTTTACCTGAATAATCAATCGAGTTTACGGTTCAAAAAAATCAATTAACTGTCATTGAAGTAATATGTGCTACGTACTACACGCAGGACGTGTGGCCGGAGGCAGAGTACCTTTTTACATACAGACTTTTACTCATACGCAAGTTTGCGTCCGTATGCTCTAATGTATTGGCAAACGATCAAGTATCTGTGTGTTCTCTAGTACATATCACTTCAATAGCTATTTAATTACTTTGATTGTGTAGTGACTGTGTAAAAATACCCTTTACCTCGTATCGCCCCGCGGGTGTCGCAGCATGCGCCAGAGGGAAGTTGGAACAGGTGATGGGCAGCAGCATCTTCCTGATAACTACAAACAAACTACGATTGACAATTCGCTTGTTAACAATAACAAAATCCCCCCCCCCCTACCTATGAGTAAAACTATGGAGAGAGAGCGGATCTTATAAGGCTGCCAGAGTAACGATAACGGATTGTACGCAATGCACAGGCGCAGCGGCAGAGCTGGGAGGTGCGGTGGCGGGCACGCTGCGCGGCTTGGGCGCGGCGCAGCGGTGGTGCGACGGGCGGCGAGGCGGTGGGCGGCGGAGTGGCGGGCGGCGGGGCGACGGAGTGCGCGCGCGCCGGTCCGTTGCCCGCGCTGTTGTACGACACGCTGCGCCTGTGGGCAGTCGCGCTCGACCGCGTGTTGGCCGCGCGCTCCGCGCTGCTCGCCGCCCTGCACGACCCCGACATCGTCCGGTTAGTGCCCACTCCGCTTTGTAACACGCTGTTATTAGCTTCGCGTCTATCTATCTATCTATATACCGCAATCTTTAATATAATTTTACCTATGCCTAGCTTGCGGACGCCGAACGACTAATAAATTTGCATTCGTATCAAGGACCGTTGACAGCACAATAATTTAATAACTTTATACTACTATCCTACTCAAGATCACCAGGAATAAATTTAATGATTTCTTATATTTACGCGAACACTACACATTGAAATAATACTAGTTTTTACGGAATTTATCGCGTATATTTAACTTTTTAAATACCCGACGTTTCGAACGCTTTACAGCACTCATGGTCACGGGTGGGACTGAGATGTTCAACGTCCATATGTCATTGTTAACCGCGGTTACCATAGATTAAAATTTAACTTTTGTTCCGATCTATGCAGTATGAACTTATGGTATCTTGAAGTCTTGCAGTTGTATTATTGGGTTGGGATTTAATTTTATTTGTTATAGGATCCCAAGCAAATGGTAGCACCCAGCCATCTTCTCTATTGAAATTAGGAAGTTTTTTGATTTCAATAGCCTCGCGAATCATCTTTGGAAGGAATCGGTGTTCTTTAGCGAGGATTTGCGGTCTATCAAATCTGATGTAGTGACGGGGGCGATCCTGTACGTGTTCACAGACTGCAGACTTCCCGGAGCGTCGATTCTTCACATCAGCTATATGTTCTTTAACGCGGGTTTTCATTGATCTTTTAGTTTGTCCTATGTAGGAAAGACCACATTCACAATCAAGCTTGTACACTCCTGCATCTTGCAGAGGGACATTACACTTGACTGATGGTAAAAACTGACCAATCTTCTTCAGCGGCTTGAAGTATGTTTTGATGGAAGCGCGCTTCAAGATGTAGCCAATCTTGTCAGTGACTCCTCTAACATATGGCAGTACAGCAGGTACACGCTCGACTGTGGCCGGCTTCACTCGTTCACTGTGACGTAGGCGCGGGACTCGAAGCTTGTTGTCATGCAAAACTTGCTTGACATGGTGGAGCTCGGCAGCCAGGTGTTTACTGTCACAGATCCCTCGTGCTCTCTGAAACAAAGATTTACCCACGGTAGCTAACTGTGAAGGATGGTGGTGAGAATCACCGTTTAAATATCTATCTGTATGGGTCTTTTTTCTGTACACAGTATGGCTCAAGGTGTTATCAGGATTCCGAATTACTAACACATCTAGAAAAGCTAAGGAATTGTTTGCCTCTAACTCCATTGTGAACTGAATTTTAGAATTTATAGAGTTAAGATGGTCTAAAAATGCAGTTACTTTATCTAAAGGTAGAATTGTGAAAGTGTCGTCTACGTACCGCTTGTAGAATCTTGGATTTATGGGAGAACTAAGCAGGGCTTTCTCCTCAAAGTCTTCCATGAATATGTCGGCGACAATGGGAGATACAGGTGAGCCCATCGCCACACCATCTACTTGCTTGTAGAACTCCTCCTTCCACAATAGGTAGCCAGATGTAAGGCAGTGTCTGAGTAATACTGCATATTCTACGGGCATGTTGTTTTCTTCCAGCCTTCTAGTTACAATTGAGATGCAGTCTTCAACAGGTAAGCATGTAAACAATGACTGCACATCAAAACTGACCATAGTTTCATTGTCTGCCAGATGTAGGTCTTTAATCTCGCTGACAAAATGGTAGGAATCCTTTATGTGTGCTCTTGTATGTCCCCTGAGCGGTGAGAGTATTTTCGCTAAGTGTTGAGCCAATCTGTAAGTTGGTGAATCGATTTGGCTCACTATGGGACGTAATGGAGCATTGGGCTTGTGTATTTTTGGTAACCCATACAATTTTGGTGATTTGGCGCACGTAGGTATTATCCATTTTACGTCCAGATTTAATTTTTCGGAGTGTTTCTTTATGAGGTCACTAGTTGTTTTTAGTGTGCTATTTGTTGGGTCGTTTTTAACCTTTTTTATAAGTACTTACATCCGACAAAAGTTCTTGTATTTTAGAATTATAATCTGACGTATCCATGACTACCGTGGCGTTTCCCTTATCTGCGCGGAGAATCGTAAGTTCTGGTTTATTGCGTAGGTTCTTTAACGCTATAAATTCGTCTTTGGGAAGATTCGGTTTAGGCACTGAACATCGACGTAACATAGACGAAATGTCTTGACGTATCGCCTCCAAATCTTCTTTCCGCATATTGTTTTTAAATAAACAGTCCTCGACACTACAGATAATTTCTTCGTACGGTAATTTGCGGGGTGTAATAGCAAAGTTGAGGCCTTTGGATAAAACCCTAATTGTTGCATCATCCAGTGTTTGTTTTGACAGATTATAGAGCGCGATTAATCTATGATCTGTGTTTGTCAATGGTTGCTTTTGGTTCTGGCATTGATTCAGATGTTTGACATTTGACTTGTTCGTTAATTTTTGATATTTTTCTATATGTTTGTTTTTGCATTCGTTATATTTACTAATTTCGCGTTTATTTAATGTTTCCATGCAAAAATTATAGTCAAACTTCGTTAAAGCTTTCTTTAATTCACTGGATGATGTGTGTATGGATTTATTTACGTCATATAGATCGGAGCGTTTTTGTTAGATTACCGTCCGTAACAACTTTTTACTCGCCTGATTTAAGATCTTAGCGCTTCCTCGAATGTCCTTTTTGGTTGATATTTTGACACACGTAGGAATGAGATTATGGTCACGGCATCTCTTCAAGAAATTTAAGGCTGTTAGATATCTTACGCGCTTGGTCTTTAGATCTTCTAATCGGCGTATTTTATTTGCAATTACCAGTCCGTACTGGTTTACATAATGATTTCTTATATTTACGCGAACACTACACATTGAAATAATACTAGTTTTTACGGAATTTATCGCGTATATTTAACTTTTTTATATACCCGACGTTTCGAACGCTTTACAGCACTCATGGTCACGGGTGGGACTGAGATGTTCAACGTCCATATGTCATTGTTAACCGCGGTTACCATAGATTAAAATTTAAGTTTTGTTCCGATCTATGCAGTATGAACTTATGGTATCTTGAAGTCTTGCAGTTGTATTATTGGGTTGGGATTTAATTTAATTTATTATAGGATCCCAAGCAGATGGTAGCACCCAGCCATCTTCTCTATTGAAATTAGGATGTTTTTTGATTTCAATAGCCTCGCGAATCATCCTTGGAAGGAATCAGTGTTCTTTAGCGAGGATTTGCGGTCTATCAAATCTGATGTAGTGACGGGGGGCGATCCTGTACGTGTTTACAGACTGCAGACTTCCCGGAGCGTCGATTCTTCACATCAGCTATATGTTCTTTAACGCGGGTTTTTATTGATCTTTTAGTTTGTCCTATGTAGGAGAGACCACATTCACAATCAAGCTTGTATACTCCTGCATCTTGCAGAGGGACATTACAAAAAAAAACTAGTATTATTTCAAGGAATAAATTTAATAATTATCAGGCTCAGCTCAGCTCAAGATCAATGAGTGTTATTATTATAAATTAGTGATTTATCATTGATAATAGCCCCTGAAAACGAGGTGATAGCAACCACGCTATCTCTAATTTGTTGTGTTGTTCATTGTGTTTTATATATAGTTGTAAACTGCTTTTTTTTAAAGTCCCGCTAGATTTCTTGCTGGTTTTTCTCAAAACAGAGGTTTTCTCCGAACTATTAAACGTAAAAGTGACTTACAAAAAAAATCTTTATTTGTTTCTGGTCTCGCGAATCCTTTTCTGAGATATCAACCGGTAATTTTTTTACGAGCTTGTTTTCTGCGAGGTGATCCGTCAACGTTCTTCTGAATGCCCGTGTAGTGCATTCGTTAATTTCCTTTTTGTTGTGACAAAATTATTTTCCTAATTCGATATGCTCGACATGTTTTAAAGCTTATAATTCAGTTTAGTTTTCTGTAATTATTTTTCAGATTAGTCAGGCACGAATTCTTTCAAAACTACTGTCGGAGCCAAGCGACAGTAGCGTAATAGATATAGGTCCCTTCAACTATACTTTAACTTCAACAAAACTGCGTAGTCATAGTTGGCATAACTGTGGCGTGACAGTACTGCGTTAACAAAGTCTTATTTTTTTAATAAGTACCCAAATAAATAACAAACGTGCGAATGATAATCAGTTGATCTCGCGCTATTTAAAAATTGTCAGTTTTAAAGATGTTCTGGGAAATGGTTTTCCCGTCCCGTCATGAAAATTGTAGACATCGGCTTTTCCTTTACATCTTATTTGAACATTTTGTCAACAAAATACTTAGATGAACATTTTATTAATGTTTTGTTTTAAACGCTATACATTATGTACGGTGCAACACTGTGCATTCTCCCGCGTCAGCATTTCAGTAATTAGCAAATTAGACACTATGCGCGACTGACCTCATTCATTAATATTTTACATTTTTAATGCTTTGGAGTTTGGCTATCATTACGGTCGCGCGACCCAACCTTATATTTTTGCCAAATTTAGTATTTTGTGAAATCTCAATAAATCTTTATTTTTTTCTCAAGATTGTGTTTAAAACATACATAACAAGACCAAGACCAAACATTTTGTGGTCCTTCAAGGAAACTGATCAGTGTTTTGTGGACCTCAAGTGCAGTGCGATCGATTCGGTTGGCCTCCCACCAGCGGGTCTCACCAGACGGATTGAGACGGCGCTCTACGTGTACTGAGAGTCTGCAAATATACTGAGAACCAGTAACAATACCAAGCACCAGACCAAACATCTTATGGAGGATACATTATTAGATACGATAACGTTACCGAATAATGGTTTCGCTAAAAAGAAATCAATAAGAGCGAATCTTCAAAACTTCAAAAACGTTTGTAACCGCTGTCATAAATTAATTAATTAAAAATGATCCCCATTTCTTTATATAACCGTTATCGTCACAGTCTATTAAAGTCTATGTTTAGGTTTAAAGACATTTATTCTCATAAAGACATTTTATACGCCACTTACATGAGAACATAAAAAAAAGTAAATCTAAATAACAAAATTCGTTGTCGTACCTACTATATGTTGTCGAAAAATAAACAACATCAAAAACAGCTATCGACGGGAAAAATCTATACAAATAAAAGAAAGGTTAAATTCTAGTATTCACTATCACCTTAGCACCACAATACTAGGACCAGGAACAAACCAGTCCAAACACTCAGATAGATATGTTTATGATTATATGATTTGTTAGTCGCTTTTTGAATACATTGAACGAGTCTACATTTTTTATTTCCGAGGGTATCTTATTAAAAAGGCGCACACCTTCACATGTAATTGTGGTCTGGCCGTACTTTGTTCGAGTTTTAGGCAACAAGATGAAGCTTGCGCGTCGAGTGCAGATGCGCCCAACTTTTTTTCGCTTGGTGAATTGCAGATCCGTGCGGACCTTCTTGTTCATGGATTTGCGAATAAAGATACATGCGCTGTAAATGTATAATTGTTTGATATTCATCAGATTCGTCTCTCGGAAAAATTTTGATGTTGACGTTCGGAAATTGTAGTTGAATAGCATTTTTATGATTTTATTTTGTAGGATTTGTAATTTGTTTAATCTGGTACTGACAGCGCTTCCCCAGACCTCGATGAGATATAACAGGTGTGGTTTAACTAGGGCATTATATATTGTGAAACGTAGTTTCTGTGGTATGTATCGAATATTAATCCGGAGTAAGGCGTGAAGTGACATTAATTTGGTTATTAAATATTTAATTTGAACTTTCCATGTTAAATGGGTACCCAAATAAAGGCCAAGATATTTTACATTAGTTTCTTCTTGAAATGGTATATTGTTTATTTTAAGAGGTGAGAAATTGGGTATAGGTTTTGTTACTGCCCCAGGCTACCCTGACAATAGCTGATCGGAACTCGGGCCCATCAGGAATTCCACTCGACGAGTAGACAAGGGGAGGGTAAAAAGACCTGTGGAATATTAAGCTATAGCGGCTAACAAAGAACCAAACAAAACTTACCTTTTACCGTCGAAGTAGGGTTAACCCTAATATATATATAAATAGTGGAGCGCGTGTGTGGGTTGTGTTCATTACGTGTTCAATTGTGTAACCTGACATCCCCGCTGGTTGCAGAACAGCAGATCCGAAGGCGTCGCCTCAGCTACTAGGAAACTGTTATTTAATTAATGTCACTTATTATTTAATGTCAAATTAATTGTCTTTAAGTTCAAACAATCAAGTCCATCGACGTTAATTGACGTTAGACACGCGGTACAACTCAAGGACAGTGGGTCAAAGTTCAATGACATAGGCCAACGTAGCACAAACTAACACCGCGTCGATTCAATTAACTGCATAAGGGACCTTCCCTTAATCATTACAAATTCCTAGCCGTCCTCTGTCATGTAACGCGATAAAAATATACACTAAATTCGAGGCGGTCTGGGTTATCTTCTATATTCAATATTAAGTTCAAAATGGCGCGCTCTATTAACACGAGTCTTGAATATATGAGCGACCCGGGCTTCTCACAATAAACTAAAGAATTAAGCCTAGTTATCAATTCGCCCACTAATATAAGATAACTTAAGACCGTACTTTCGACGCGCAAAATTATATTACTCTAGAGAGCCCAACCGGGGAACGTCGCGCATCGGCGCGGGCGCCGCGCGACAAGGCTCGCAGCCTCGCGACGGACCGCCCGGCTTTGCCGCCGTCTTTCTTCCTTCGCGGCTCGATGCAAACAGGGCAGACTGCGCTGCACGCAGTATGTGGCTAGTCGCTGAGTCCTCTCGCCCCGCCAACCCTCTCTTCACACCTCTCGAGATAAGATAATCTACTATACGGCGCGAACAGGTTTATTTTTTGCTTTAAATATTATATAGCTAGTTTTAAAAATGTTGATAGTTAGTAAATTGTATTGTAACCAATCGCGAAGAATGTCAAGGTCCTGCTGGGCTTGAGAGACAAGATCATGAATTAAAGAACCAAAGTAAAAAAAAACAAGTGTCATCGGCGTAAAGTGTGATATTGCCATTCAAGCCCAACTCATGAATATTGTTAATATAGACTAAAAAGAGCATAGGATCCAATATTGAATCTTGTGGAACTCCATAGGTTATGGGTTGTGGGAGACTTTGAGTCTATTTTTACGATCTGGGATCTATTAGTAAGGTAAGACTCAAACATTTTAAGGCTATGCCAGTAATACCAATGACTTATATCAGCGACAGATAAATCGAATAGTTGCAAATAATCCTGATCTGTGTGTCCTCGGGGAGAAGATAAATCGTGTGACTGAAGCTAAGAATCTGGGATTGCTTATGGATGACGCGCTTCGCTTTGAGAGACACGTGATCGAGATCGCACGTAATTGCTTTTACAGACTAAAAGTATTATACCGAATACGTGACTTTTTGAGTGAAGATCTGCGCATTAAGCTTTGCAACTCCCTTGTACTCTCCAGGCTAAACTATGCCGATACGGTATATGGACCAAGGCTACTTTCGAAAACTGACCGAATAATTCAGAGGATCCAAAATGCTTGTGCCAGGTATATACACCACATTCCCCCACGAACGCACGTCAGTCCCTATTTAAATAAATCAAAGTTATTAAGAATGTCCCAATTAAGAGAACTACATTTAGCAACACTAATATTCGATGTCTTTCAAAACAAAAAAGCCCGGGTATCTATTAGAAAAACTAAAATGGCGCAAGGACGGTAATTTTAAGGATATTCGAACAAAATCAAATGTCCTTTCAATACCAAAACACACAACGGCAGCATTCCGTGGTAGTTTCCGATATGCAGCTACTAAATGCTGGAACAACTTGCCCCCACCTATCCGCCAACTAAATACCATCAGCCTTTTCAAGGTAAAAGTAAAAGAATATTTTTGTCACGTTAACATTTAGGGCGGATAAAATAGCTGCATTATATTTTCATAGTATAATATAAATATCTATATTGTTTTATTGTAAATTCTCATTATATTATTTATTATATACATTTATACATACCTACTGCATAAATAAGGTTCCCATCCTTTCTCATTACCATTATGTTATTTTATTATTTTGATAACATCTTTCTCGAAAATAGAAATAAAGCGAACATACTATCCTCGCAGGCGAGTCCAACCTCAATGGGCATTGCTGAAAACCAACGCTACCGCAATCTTGCGATAGCATTATGTTGAGTCAGTGCCCTTTTCAGCATCACATCACTCATGCAATTGAATCATTTTATGACTTTTGTTATTTACTTTTAACTTTTATGTTTTTATGTATTATTTTATTTTTTGTATCAAAACTGTATGAATGTAAGTTGCTGAATAAATGCATGTCTATGTCTATGTCTATGACTTCCAGTTTTTTAAGAGAAATTTATGATTTACGGTGTCAAACGCCTGTTTTAAATCGACGAATACTCCTAGTACGATGTTTTTCTTATCAATGTTATGTCTACTGCTTACATAGTTTCTCCTCGATAGATTACCTCTTAAGGTATTGTTTGTATCTGTCATTGTTGCCACGTTTGGCAAGCGGGTTGCCAACCGCAGTTTTTTTTACTTTCAGTCGTTATTATGAAGACGCTTCTGTGTCCCCCGTGTCGCCTGTTACGACAATCACGAGATGATATGAGGTAGTGGATATTCCTACACCAACACTGAACTGTAAATTTTTAACTTTCAGTTCTCATGCCGAATTATAACAACAGCGATATGCCAGCAATGGCAATTTTACGACTTAAAAACTTTTCATAATAATACCCATATATATATATATATAGAAATCTGTGGAAATTTAAGGATGTTTTTCTTTTAACAGGAGCCTCATGGACAACGCAACACAGAGCAACTTCAGCGGGCTGACGGGGGAGTTCTCATGGGTGCGAGAAGGCGCGGGCGCTGCGCGCGTGTCGCCGCTGGTTCTGCTGCAGTGGGAGAACGGCACGCGGCGTGAGGTTGGGCGCTGGCGGCGCAGCGCTGAGCTGCGGCTGGCGGCACTGCGCTGGCGCACGCCGGACGGCGCGCCGCCCGGCGACGGCACCGACGAGCGCTGCGCGCTGCGCCCGCTGGCTGAGCTGCTGAACGCCGACTGCCGCGTCGCCGCCGTTACGCTCGCTGCACTGTTGCTCGTGCTGGCCATGGCCGCGCTCGCGGCCGCCGCGCTGCACTGCAAGCGCCGCGCTGAGCGCGACTACCTCGCGCGGCTCGCCGCGCTCTCTTTGCGCACGCTGCCTACCAAGTCGGACGGCCTCGACCGCTGGGAGGTATCACGCGAGCGCGTCGTCATCAACCGTAAGCTCGGCATGGGCGCCTTCGGAACCGTGTATGGTGGACACGCCCTCCTCGCCGAGGATCGCGGCTGGACTGCCGTCGCTGTAAAGACGCTCAAGGCGGGTGCAACCACCGAGGAGAAGCTCGACTTCCTTTCGGAGGCAGAGACAATGAAACGTTTCGATCATAAGAACATCGTGCGGCTCTTGGGCGTCGTGACGAAGACGGAGCCGGTATGCACCGTGATGGAGTTCATGCTGTATGGGGACCTGAAGAACTATCTGCTGGCGCGGCGGCACCTGGCGGGCGGCGCGCTAGTGGACGCGGAGCCGGACGAAGGCGCGGACGAGGTGTCGCCGCGCCGCCTCACCGCCATGGCGCTGGACGCGGCGCGCGCGCTCAGTTACCTGGCGCAGCTGCGCTACGTGCACCGCGACGTGGCCGCGCGCAACTGCCTCGTGTCCGCGCGTCGCGTGCTCAAGCTCGCCGACTTCGGCATGACTCGACTCGTCTTCGAGAACGACTACTACCGCTTTAGTCGCAAGGGCATGCTGCCGGTGCGCTGGATGGCGCCGGAGAGCTTGACTCTGGGCGTGTTTTCTCCGGCCTCCGACGTGTGGTCTTTCGGTGTGCTACTTTACGAGATCGTCACTTTCGGCTCGCTACCGTTCCAGGGCCTCAGCAACGCCGAAGTTCTAACACGGGTCAAAGGGGGCCACACGCTCGAGTTGCCGCCTGGACTGAAACCGCAGCTGTATGTTTACTTTCTTCTTTATACCGTCTTTTATGTTAAACTTACTTTTATTTAGCGGATGGCTGCTAAATAAATTGTTTGATCATCAATTAAAATCACGCTTGCTTAAGAGGGATTATACGTTTTTTATGGAGGAGGAGACACATGAACATTCAGCTCAACTCATGTTAAACAATCACCGTCCCCCATGATCATAGGCAACCTTTGCGTTTCTAACGGCAACTCACTCGCAATATTGCAAGTGCGTTGCCGTTAGAAAGGTGTAGGCTCTTTTTTTGAAAGACACTAAGTCATATGATAACTAGATTTCTCAATGAACTTTACGCTTGTTTCTTTATTTTCAATTAATATTTGTCACCTAGCACTAAGAAGATTTAGTTTAGGCTACGCGGTATATATCGTATCAAGCAGTGCACATCCCCTTATTATCCAAAATGTGTCGTAAGAGGCGATAGAGGGAAACAATTCAGGAGGTCGACAACGGCGTCTTCCTAGTAACGAAATAAAAAATGCGGTTGCAAGCCCGCTTAGCGAGCGCGGCAACTGTGCGGCAATCTGGTGGGGGTCATTGTCCAGCAGTGGACGTTCATAGACTGTAACGGTAACGCGGTATACAATATAATTAATGGAAGGACTGTAACTCGAGCGCAGCGAGGGGCTGATCAAGTCGTGCTGGCAGCGAGAGCATCGCTCGAGGCCGAGCGCGGCGCAGGTGGCGGCGCTGCTGGGCGAGTCGCCACGGCTGCTGGCGCCGTGCCTCGACGTGCCGCTGGACGCGCTGCCTCTGGACGCCGAGCCGCCGTGGCGCGCGCCGCCCGACCGCGCGCAGGCCCTCTGGCTCTCGTGGACCGCACCCGCGCCCGCTTCCGCACCCGCCTCCGCGCACACCGACACCACCTACCTCAGCTCCGAGCCGCGCGACACAGACCGCTTCCTGTCCTGACGATACCACACACTGCGGCTCCCAGTCGATCTCCTCGCACTCCGACCTTCGACGACATTCCACTTGATTCTAGTCACGATGTAGCAGCAGAGTTAGTTAAAATGTAGTACATAATAAATATTTATATGTAATTAAGAAAAAAAAATAAATATTAACTAAAACTTACTGCAACGTTCTATTTAATTTTCCCTTCACAATCCCGAATATTAGTAGCTATTTTTATAATATACAATACCAATAGGCACATGTTAAATGCCATCATATAAGCAATTAGAACTTTTACAAGTATGGTGTGATTTCGTGGTTTTTGTCTATCGTACGAGTAAACTATTTAAATGCCAAGCACATCTCGTGGCAAATATACAGCGGTACTGCGGCTATCTTCTAAACGCCTAGCGTAATAATATGCTCAAACCGTTGACCAGAACCAATAGAAAAAAGATTGTATAGATGGATGGACTCCATAGTTGATGTTGACCTGACTAAAACGGCTGTTACTTTTGTAACTGTAACTCGTTAGAATAATACAATATCATGGAACCTAACTCCTGAGATCGTCTCGCAGGCGACTGCAAGTTGCAAACTACGACGCTCCAAAGCTCTCGTGGCAATTGTGATATATTTATTGACGATATCGTGTTGTGTGCGGTACCGCTCACGTGGCGCTTTCAAATACGCAGTTCACTCGACTCTCTGAAACGGAAACCGCATTGGATTCCTGGACAGAAAATAAGGCCTACCACATAGAAGATAATTTCTCACCTCTCCACACATAGTATTTATGTGACGAGTTTAATATTCTTAAAGTTTTCAGTAAAACCGTACAACATTGTAAAATTAAGCCAATTCTCAGAGTTCTTTGCATATATAATGAATTATGAATGAATTATTTTACGTGTTAAAAGCCCAGCTAACATAAATGATATACGGATATAAGTTATAAGAATATTTACTACTTTAAAGGAAAAACGCCCACAAGGAAAACCGTTATCAGTTGTAACGATGTAATTAATTCCAAATAATCCAGCAACATGCTTCAGTCAATGCCCGCGGCCCGAGTGTCAAATAGCGCGAACCTTGATAGCCAGCGTTTGGGCAGCGCATAGCTCGTGGCCACACTTTTCTGGAGTCTAATCACATTTCACAAGATATTAACTGAAAATTAGCTGAAACTGAAGACATTAGTTCATCTTTTGTACGTATCCTTTTTGAAAATTGTGAAAAAATTTAGAATAAACTTCCTCATATCAATTCCTTTGTGCGATTGCAATATTACATCCGATTGAGTAGTATTGTTAGTGCTCAGGGCTAACAATGGACCTCTTAGTTGTTTCTTGAAGATAGATTTAAATGTGTATGGAGCACAGTAGTCGCTTGCCATCGGGAGGTGTGAGTGCTTGTGGCAACTCCCTGGCCATAGTCGTTTTAAAATAATAACGGAACCAGACGTTTATTTGCAAAAGAATTGCAAGAGAATTTACTTTATTTTTCATTTTTAAAATATGCTATTTAATAAGTGAAATGAGTCATGTGGTGCATTGGGTATCAACAGAACGAAGCATTGATATTGAAACGTAACGACATCACCCGCAATTAATGTTGCATTACCATTACAACTTATCAAAAGTCCACCGCTGAATGTAGCATTCCTCCATAAATTACCTTATAGGGGGGATATTTGTCATAGTCACGTTTGGCAAGTGAGTTGGCAATCTAATTTTTTTATTCAGCTGTTACCGATAAGATGCTGCTGCTCTTTTGATAGCCACGGGATGATATGAGGTAGTGGATTAGAAAAGAATAGTATAGAATAATTTTTTATTCAATATAGATTACATGTTGCAATTCTTATCGAAACTTATTTCTTACTTTACCACTGGTTCGAAAAAAAACGTCTGTTCTGGGAAGACCAGCAAGAAACCTGCTGGGTTTCTTGCTGGTCTTGCTGGACTTTCTTTAAACATATTTCAACTTACAATAAATTTATTTTGTACAATTTTTGTATGAATTTTTTATAGAACCAGCGTGGTGGTGACCACTTCATTCCCAGGGGTCAAAAAGGGTTATTATAATATAAATGGAAACATTTATGTATTCATTTATATTATAATAACCCTTTTTGTACAATTTTTCTTTAATAAAACGTTTAAATTTGTTTAATGACAAATTTGTCATTAAACAATTTTTAAAAAAAAAATTGTTTAATGACAAATTTTGTACATTTTCTGTGATTTTGTTGTAAAAGCGTATACATTGCTCCATAAATGAATTACTAATTCTGTGGATTCTAGTAACTGGTATTACAAGCTTATATTTTTTCCTATGTATGTAAGTATGAACATCTTTACTATTATGAAAGTTGTTTATGTTTTTAGCTATTTTTGTTAATGTACATACATTTTCGTAAATATATTGTGATGCCAAAGTTAATATGTTTATTTCCTTAAATTTTTTATATGAGACTCTACAATTTAAGTTATAATCCCGTACGGCTCTCTTTTGCAAAACAAATATGCCAGTCGCCAGTATTATCCCATAGTAAGATTCCATAAAACATTACGCTATGAAAGTAACTAAAATAAACTAATCTAGTTGTCTCAACGTTGCTTAGACTTCTAATCTTTCTTACAGAATATGCTGCAGAACTAAGTCTGCCTGCTAATTTGGATATAGGGTGGCCCCATTGAATCTTAGCGTCAATAGTAATACCAAGAAAAACAGTAATCCCCACAAGACACAAATCTTCCCCATTTAACCCCTCAGTCCCCTTAAAATTCTTGTGGCCGTAGAAGGAAAAGGGGAGATCTCCCACCGGGCAAGGTGTGAGCGGCCAACACTCCATGTGATAGTTCGGAGATGTTCTATATATGCTGTTTATGATTCGGAATGTTAATAGCGTGATTTAAGTTTCGGTGTGTTTCGCTTGCGGCGCGACGACAGCGCCGCCACAGTCTCATGCTGTCGCATTCGCCTGGCAAATCTCGAGCGATCACATGCGACAGCACTTAAAACCATTAAAAGTTATATTTGGAGACTACTTTTCTACGAAGTTTGGCATTGTAAATCATCATCATCATCATCATCATTACAGCCCTTCACAAATCCACTGCTGAACATAGGCCGCCCCCAAGTAATGCCACAAAGCACGGTCCTGAGCCACCTGCATCCATCGACTTCCTGCATATCTTACCAGGTCGTCACTCCATCTAGTGGGGGGTCGCCCTACACTACGCCTACCGGTACGAGGCTGCCACTCGAGAACCTTTCTTCCCCATCGGTTATTGGTTCTTCACTAACATGGCCGGTCATTGCCACTTCAGCGTACTAATCCGTTAGGCTATGTGGGTCACTCTGGTTTTACTGCGGATATACTCATTTCTGAGTCTATCACGCAGAGAAACTCCGAGCATAGCCCTCTCCATAGCTCGCTGAGCGACCTTGAGCGTTAATACCCCCCCCAAAAAAATTCCACTCAAGACTACAACTGCTCGGGGCAAACGGAGCAACAAGACCAAGGCGACCCCTGCCACGCTGTCCGTGAATTTCTGCAATATCAGGGGACTTCACTCTAACCTCTTGTCTCGTATCTCTCCTACCCGGGGTACAAACTGGAACACTCTGAACAGAGGACATCTGTTCTCGACGCCTCGGCATACTTGAAGGTTCGGATCTGCCATCCTTTGGCTACGCGTAGACAGCGATGACAATCCGCGCGTCTACGGGTGCCTCTATAGGTCCCATAGCGGTAATGCTGAAACAGACCGACTCTTCGACCACGTCCAAATGGCTACAGATTCGTTGCTACAGCAGATCCCCTCCGCAGAGATCGTGATCCTCGGCGACTTTAACGCCCATCACGCCGAATGGCTTGGTTCACGTTTAACCGATCATGCGGGGAGATCTGTTCAAGATTTTGCCTTGGCTTATGGTCTGACACAACTGGTTACTTCGCCTACGCGGATTCCAGATGTGGAGGATCATGCACCTTCCCTGTTGGACCTTCTGCTGACCTCTCACCCAGACGGATATCAGATTTCCGTCGACGCCCCTTTAGGCTCCTCAGACCATTGTCTTGTCCGGAGTGTGGTGCCACTCACGTTGATTGCACGCAGTTGCATTCTGCAGGCTGCCGCCGTGTTTGGCACTATAGGTCAGCCGATTGGGATGGGATGCGGTCTTTCTTTGCATCCTACCCTTGGGGGCGGGTTTGCTTCTCGCCGGACGATCCCAACGTTGTTGCGGATTCTGTCGCCTATGTGGTACTTCAGGGTATGGAACTTTTTATTCCTTCCTCTGTGGTGCCCATTGGAGGCAAATCTGAGCCATGGTTTGGTCGCTCCTTTAAAATAGCATCATGCTATAAGCAGGAGTGCTACCGAGCCTGGGCTGACGCATCAGCGTCCCGGGATGTAAACACCAGCGCTATAAAAAAGAAGTATAATTCCGCCTCTAGGTCCTTCAAAAGAGTCATTGCCAAGGCAAAGTCAGAGCACATAGGCAGAATTGGCGAGAAACTAGTTCGCCTTCCTTCTGGAACCCGTGCATTCTGGTCTCTCGCCAAGGCTGTCCAGAGGAATTTCTGTCGGCCATCTCTTCCATCTCTGCACAGGGAGGACGACTCACTGGCCCATACCGCAAAAGAGAAAGCCGATCTTCTAGGCACTTTATTTGCGTCCAACTCGACCCTCGATGACGGGGGCAGTACGTCGCCGACCATCCCGAGGTGTAAGTGCTCCATGCCGGAAGTGCAGCTCACACAGCGCTCGGTTCGAAAAGCACTCCTCTCCCTGGACATCCACAAGTGGAGTGGGCCTGACGGAATCCCCCGGACGTGTGCTCCAGAGTTGGCACCGGTTTTAACACGTCTTTTCCGGTACTCCTACTCCCTAGGCGTAGTCCCAAAATCATGGAAGACGGCTTTCGTCCACCCGATCCCTAAAAAAGGCGACCGCTCAGACCCGTCCAACTACCGGCCTATCGCCATCACCTCCTTGTTCTCC